CGGTACATTGTAATCATGAAAGAAGACATTAACCAAATGTTTTGCTATCTTCTTCTGTGATAATATTCTGTTTTGTTTTCATCTCAGTGACAACAGTCCTGCCAAAGCTTTCTCCATCTGCTGGAGTGTTTACTTTGATCAAACACAGATTAAGACTCGTGCAATGAATGCCGTCAAAGGTGACCTCTTCACACACTTGATCCTCTCATCCAACCATGAATCACACAGTTAATTTTCTTTTCAGAACCTGCCGACCATGTTTGCTTTTAGCCCAAAGCAGGAAGGAAATAGAGCTTTTTATTTATCGAAAGTAGGACTGGAACAATTTGATTCATCATGAATCATCGATTAATCAACTAATTTAGTAAACAAATAATTGTTAGTTGGAGGAATAAGACAAAAAAAAACACATTCAGAAGTTAAACTAAAACAGTATAAAAATATAGACATTTTTGCATGCAAGATAAAAAATTATGCTCCGTTTTCAATAAACAGCTTAGCTGAAGTATTTCTTTTCTTTGTTTTTTTTTTTTCTTGAAATGATCAAGCGTACATAGATGCATTTTAGGCAATAAAATGTAGATTTTCTTATTCAAAAATGAAGAGAATTTTTTATATTCTACAAAATAAGCTTAGGTGGCTAAATTATTATTTTTTTAATCCAATTCCTCAATTAATCACTAGAATAACTGATATAATACTTGATGACTAGGCCTGTCACAATAACAAATTTTGCTGGGTGATAAGTTGTCCCATAAGTTATTGCTATAAATGATAATATTGTTTAGAGAACATGTTCAAGTAAAGTAATGGTAATGACATAATAAAGCAAGAACACATTTTGAAAGATCAATAAACTTTAAATTCTAAAAAACATCTAACACTGGAACTGGAAGACATTTAAAAAATCCAAAATAAGTAAACAAAACAACAAATAAAATTAATTATGAAGTTTCTAAACAAAATTGTCCCTAAAAAAAAACGGGTTAGTTGAGACTAAAGCACCAGACTGAAGACTTTTATCATCCAGTTTTTGGTAGAAAGAGAAAAACTATATGTCATACAAATGGAAATTATTGATCTCCTTTCAATTCATCAAGCAATTAATTGATTTATTGTGACAGACCTCTGATTACTCAAATAACTGTTAGCTGCTGTCCTAACTGAAAGTCCTATCTTAATCGTAACATCACATTTTGCCCAACAGATATCTGGATTTAACTAATTTTTCCATAAATACACACGTCGGAATACGTCCACCAGCAGCTCTTTTAGGTCATTAACTTCTTATCTTTGACTCACTCAGCAATCCTCTATTAGCTGCCCATGTAAATGAGAATATTTAGTGGAACTGCACTCTAAAAATCACGTTTTCCAATTTAAAACACTCCAGAATATGGGCCCTGCTTATCTAAACGGTATTTCTGAACAGACGTCTCATAACATCAGCTGGAGCAGCAGGCTGACTGCATGCTATGGGGCTGCCACCTGACACCACCTCTGGGACTCCAGCGCAGGGCTTTCCACTTGTTTCCCCGAACACACTCTGCAGAGACACCACAACACCAGACACGCTGCAGGCGGCTACAAGATTTACTGAGAGGGTTTTTAGGAATGATAAGATGCCAGATGACAGGGAACACAACACATCCCAATTCTGTTGGTGTATATTACGTCTTGTATGAACGTTCGGCAGCCATGATGCTTTTGAATATGGGTCACTTAATTTCGGTATACGGCAGGAAACCCGAGCTGGTTTTACACAGTACAGGGAAACCAGCAGAACGGGCGGAGCAGCCCAGAAGGGGGTTCTTCATGCATTCTTTCCCAAAGACCAGACGCTGAGTGAGTTTTAGAGAATGCCACAACATGATGGTGACTAAAGGTGGAATCACACCACCACCGATTGGTCCACTTCATTCCAACTCCAGTTCATTTGGGTTTTTTTATTCTATTTGGTGATGCAACACAGATTATGAAGAATTTATAGGGTGTACATTGGCAGGGAGTTGGTAATTATTCTGATTCTGTATGTCTGGTTGTTATTTTCCATTTTCATTATTGCTATGGGTCCAAAGATTTTCTTTAGTTTATCATCACTTTTTACATAATAAAATGTATTTGTTGGTTCTAGGCATATAAATACAATAACATGGTTTTAATTACAAATTAATAATTATTGAGTGATCTGTTTAATTAAATTGAGATAAGGTGTAGGATTAAATAAGTGTTCACTTCTTCCTACACCTTTTTGAACAGAAAATATTGGTAAGCCAATTATTTTGTTCTTGGCTATGTATGAACATGCTTTCTCTTGTCCTACTGATTGCTTGTTTCTTGTTTTTAAAAACCTGTTTGAAATAAATAAGAAAATAAAAGTCTGGTTTGTTTGCAGAGGTGTGAATGCGAAATCAAACTCCACCTACAAGCCTAGGTTTTGGTTCGGTTGAAGTGAACTCTAGTGTGGTTCAAATTCAAGCAGATCAAAGACTTCTCCAAAAGCAGGAAACGGACTACAACGCAGGGTATTATGGGTAAATATTAGAGTGGGAGAAATGTCTCGTGGTCTTCCACCAACAACAAAAGGGAAATCATAAAACCGCTACAATTTGATGCCACTATTTTTCTTTAATTTTGTAAAGAAGGAAACTGTGCACAGTGTCGCCTTCTGAGGCTTTTGTGTCGTTTGTGTCTTGGTGCAGCGCCACCACAGGCGAGGAGGGGAACGTTTTTTTCAAATGGTTTGGATCATTTCACTCAGTGCAGTGTGAAAGTGAACTGCACCAGCTGAAAGTGAAACAAATGTTGCAATTTTGGTCCATAATCAAACCAGTGTGAAAACACCCTAAAACTACAAGCTGTAAATATTCAAAAAGAGTGACATTTCTATATGGGAATATTTGAAAGAAAATCTACAGCTAAAAGATGTGAACACTGGTGGAAGTGGATATTTTGTCAGATGTTTAATCTGACAAAATGTGTCAAAAATACTACACATAGCACTACAAGTGGCTACATTTTGACCTTCAAAACAAGCTAAAAAAAGATCTTCCCCAAGACTGCATAAACCATAACATCATATTTCTGCATTACAAAATTAGTTTCCAATTGATTTTTCTAGAATATGAATTTTAGGATTTTATTAGCTTCAGGTCAAAATCATCAAGATCTTCATGGATTAGCACCACTCTGTGCTTAACGAATCTGTATTATATGGATTTTACTTTATGAATTAAGTTACTGAAATATTTTCTATTCTAATTTACTGAGATTCAGGTATTTTAATGAATCAATGCTTTTCAAAAAATTGCTAACATACCAATTCCCAGTGAACATTTATTGGTCACAGTTACATATAAGCAACGTCTGAATGACCTACAGGTGTCTGGGTTAGAATATGTGAAACTAAACGATTATCTGACTTATATATGGACATTTAAAACTCTACACCTAGCCTTCTGTAAGCAGCGATTGACAAGCATAAATAAAAAAGCAAATTCAATGACCTGGACTGGAACTGCAGGCCTTTCAATTACACAGACACCACCTTTGCTAGACAAGCCACAAGACCATAAATAATGCGTAAATAATAGATAAGTCTAGGATTATCATGTGTAACTGTATCTCAGTGCTGTGTCATCTACATCATGGAAACTCGATCGTAAAGGTCTTACCAGCATCTCCAGAGATATTCAGATAATATTCTAGTCACTAAACACCTGTATTAAATATTTATAGACCATTTAGGTAACAATGTGTTTATCCATTTGCCTGTGCATGTCAAATATGGAAATATGGTAGCATATTTTTCACTTTTCTCTCAATTTTGAGCTCTCAAAGGAAAAATTCATGTTGATATTAGTGCAATAACAGCAGTCCAAAAATGACTATTTTAGCTCAATCATACTAAAATAAATGAAACGGAGTTTCACATTGGTTGTTGTCTGGTTTATGTTGCTAATGATTCTGTTAAAAACACTTGTTCAATAGCTTATCAACTCAAATCACATGGCAGTAAATCAATGCATTCAGGAATCAAGATATGGCAAAGATGACTTGTTGAGGTTCAAACACTGAATTAAAATGTTGAAAAATTATTATTTAAGTGAATTTAAACATTTTAACCCTAACCCCTGTAGGTAAGAACAGAAAACTGAGGCTATAGCCCACACAAACTCAACCAAATTGGGCAATAGCTGCAAAAATGTTGCCTGGTAGCATCAAACCTTGGTGTAAACAACAAATATACCGTATACCAACAGATCAGGCTGCTGGTGACCAGCATCTACTTTCAGCAGGATAATGCTCCATATTTCAAAGCTCAAATCATCTTAATCTGACAATGAGTCCAATGGTTTTTGCAATCACCAGATCTCAATCCATTTGGTCAAAAAAAATGGAGTCGGGGCCTCAAAGGGTGTTGGGAATCTACAGGTTTGAGGTGGAAATGTTAGAAGAAATTCAAAAATAAACTAGTACATACATCTATTCGTTACCAATATTCGCTGTTATGATGGTCAGAACCAGAAACGTTCAAGTACAACTGCATTAGAGCATCTGTAAAACATGGAGGAAGAGGAGATAGTCATCATGGACATGCAGCTAAAAATCTGCTGCATCTGTGTGATGTAACAAGTCAATATGGATCTCCAAAAAATGATTTGCTGAATCTCAACCACAAGATTAAAGTAGAATTACGGGGTTACCAACTTATTTCTAACAAGGTATGTCTAATAAAGCGTTTCTTTTACATTGTGCACCCTTGAAATATATAGGTCAAATCAGATATTATATTTTTCCATCTCTAAATCAGGTCCAGATGTATTATTAAGTATTTTGCTCAGTGGATTACTGGTATTGTCTAGTTTTGGTGCATCTCCTCCATATTATCAGTGGTTTAACCCTTTTAAAAACTTTCTGGAGGCGCCTCTGGGTTCATATAAAACGTTAAATCGTTTATTTACCCATAACCCAGTTAATGTTGCTCAACAGATCCTTACCTCTTTGATTTTAGCCCGTCTCTCCTTAGTTTCGGGGTCCAGCGGTTCGTGTCCCGTCGCTCCGGGTGGACGGTGATATTCAATGGGAGGTATTTTATTCACATCATTCCCAGCCTGACCCGCAATGATAAGTTTCTTGTCTTTTGATATGTCCCATTGTATCTCCTCGGGTCGCTTTTGGAGCGTGTCCTTGGCCTCCAGCAGCGCATTTTCGTGGTCCTTCTTGATCTTGGCCAGGACCCGGACGTCGCTTCCAGCCAAGCCGGAGTAGCTGCTCTCCGGACCGGTGCGGGTGTTGGTCTCCACCGCGGGGGAGCGGAAGAAAACTCCGCTGAGTAGCTTCGACGAGTCCGGGAGGAAGAAGATAGCCCCGAAACACAGGGTGATGAAGGCGCTGAACACCAGGAGAAGAATAAATTTCTCTGTCAGCCTGAAAGAAGTCGGGCTGGCAGACTTCCTATTCGGCGGAGCGGTGAAAGGCAGAAGAGTTGCAACTGGCATTTTCACCTCTTTTTTCCTTTAAAACAACTCGAACCAAGAAGAAAACAAAAAGCTTTTAAAAACTCTGTTTACCTCAACTTTGGCTTACTCCGCTCACAAACCCATTTCCAAGTCATATAAGCGGACTAAAACGAAAAGCGGACGGTTTAAAATCTCCGGTGAAAAGTTGGTGGAAGACAAGCTTCCGTCCATGCCGAAGCCTCTCCGCAGACAGACCGAGTTCCAACGGCTCTCACACACAGGAAGCAGCGCTGCGTGGGCGTGGCCAAAGACGTAACTGACAGCAGGGAGGAGCCAATCACATTGCGCCCCGTCAGAGGTGGGAGTTTTAGAGGGGAGTGGCTAACGGCTAACAGCTGGGAAGAACCATGATGAAGAAATTCTATGGTGGCCTGAAGCATGTGAGAAATTCTAAAATTTTTGAAAAAATTGACCTTTAATATGAGTAAAATTATTTAACAGAGGAAGAAAATTCAACATTAAGGAATATCTGAAAAAGTTTGAAAAATTCAAACTTTAATTTGAGTAAAGTAATTGACAGGACATGAAAAAGTCCCACATTAAGGAATATTTTTTAAAGAAAAATAAATGGAGGTTCAATTATTATTTAAAGAATTGTGATCAAATTCTATTTTTAATCATTTCAACAATGACATATTAGGGTCATTGCAGATAGAAAAAAAGAGTGCATTTCTGCCAGAAAACTCAAAGAATTTAAAGAAAAAACTTGGAAATGTCTAATCTTCAAAGTCAAAAATGTCTAGGAAAAGAAAATCGAGACATTTTTATATTAATTTCACATATTGTTTAGGAAAAATTTTCTAATTTTAAATCAGAAATGTTTTGATTTCTGAGCTTTTTCTAGATATTTTTCTCACAAATGTTCAGTCTTTGTAACTCAGAAATTCTCTTGTTTTTCCTAGAAAATGTGAATTAATCTAAACATTTCTGAGTTCTTTGGCATAAATATATTTCTTTTTTCCTATTTACAATTGCACAAATATGTTGTTTTCTTGCAAAGTCCCTGGAAACTTCTAGATGTAGATGAAGAAAAATTTGCCTGAATTTATAGGGAGAAAAAAAATCTACCCTTTTTTATATTTATTTATAATAAAAAATATTGTGTTTGTTGATTTCAGGAATTATAAGGGATGTAAGAAGAACAGAGATAGAAATTCAGTCACCCATCATGATTCGTGCAGAACATTTCTGACACTGCTTGATTTTTGTTGTTTTTTGTTTTTGGTCACGGGATTGCTGAATCGATGAGTCTCTGACCCAAAATGGCCACATAGTGCTGATCCAACCTTTGTAATATCTACTTGGGGAAAATCTCAACAAAACTCAATTGGACTTTGTGAACGCAGCTTAAAGTGGATCATGTGACTAAAACCCTTGCAGTTTAATTCCTATTGACTGCATGTACAAGCTAACTACCAGGATAAGTAAATGGTTACGTAAGTCACATTTATCCATCTCTTAATTCCATTTGTGTTTGTAGAAAGTTCAGATAAAAACTTCAATTGATATAACAAAACACGCACTTCAATAAGGTTAGTAGATTACAGCTCAGAACAAAAGAAAATAAGCTAACGCTCATCGATTACTGGATAGATACGAATGACAAAAGCACATTTTTCCACTCTTGGCAGCATTGTTTATTGTCTTGCCCTTTGCTCATGTCATATGACTTACAGCTTTCTGTCCCCTGACCTAGTGATTCCTTGAAGAATGAGGAGATTTTGTTTTGCGGGCCTGTCACTCATTAATCAGCAGATAATCTGGCAGAAAAAGTAGAAGTTTTTGCTGCTTCTCATTTATAGTTTTAATAATCAAAAACCTTTTAAAGAGATGTGGGAAACTTCAGGGTAACTGTTTATTGAAACAAAATGTTCTTTATAAATGTCAGATTTTGCATTTGTGTAACCTTAACAAAAACATAGACTTTGCATCCCTTAGAAAAACATGGGTACTTAAACTTTAACAGTTTTCCAAAATTATAAACTACAAACATTTCCATGTATTTTGTAATTTATTGAGAATCCACTGAATATCCAGCTGAAAACAGACATTTACATTCATGTGCAAGGACTTTACTTCATTGTCTGACATTAAATCAGAAACTTTTTTTTGTTTTAGGACAGTTTGTTTCTGTAAAATGATTTCTATTTGCTAAAAGACCGGGAGGGAGCAAAAGAAAGAGACAAGACACTCTGTGGATGTAACTTAAGGTAACGCCTCAGAAAGGAGGAAATGTTTTTAACCAGATTTGATCATAATCAAAATAATAAATAATACTTTATTTAAAATGGACAAACATCCTACAGTAAAAATGTGATTTTTGTTTTCAATAAGAGACAGTGAAACGTTATATTGTTCTGTATTTTTTAGAAATTCAGAGAGGATGTGGTGGTTGTTGTTTTTTTGTTTTTTGTTTTTAAAAATAAAAAAGAAGATTCCTTTTTTAAAAAACTTATTTATTTTTTATGTATTGGATTATGCAATGGCGTCCACACTTCTTACTGCTTGGTGGCGGTACTGCTTACCTAAGGTTTTTTGCTAAACTGCCAATAAAACTCAAGAAGAAGAAAAAGAAGAACTCAATGCTCTATTAACCCTTTAGCAACTTTTTTTCTTACCATTGTTTCAGAAGCAGCTCCTATGATGAGCTCAGCAGTTCCACCAGCTGTTTGCTAATTTCTGCTGGCTAGTCTGAAGGAGCTGAGTGGGGGAGGAGCTACACCTCAGAGGCGGAGCTAAGTCCATCCAGGTGTTTTTCACACCTGAATGGTTGCTATGGAGATGAAAGGATTTTTCAAGCTTGTATGAACGTATCAAAGCAGCACTCCAGGTTTGTCTTTGATGAGACAATAACATTATAACATGATGGAAAACTCTAAAAAGTAAATTTTACATAATACTGCCCCTTTATCGCTTCTAAAAACAATAAAAGCCTGACGTTGTTTAGAGTGGTTTTATGGATGAACACATTAGAGCTGAAAACTGTGACCTTTGTTTGACAGATAAACGTTTCATCATTTAAATTATCTGCAATCTTAGTAATAATAGCTTGTGCAAACAGCAGGTAGTTTGCATGCTGTTTAAAACTGAATACAGATTTAGATAAAAGACAGCAAAATGAGAGAAACAAATGCATCTCGGAGATCTGCCGTGTTATTACTGATGGGTGTGTGCTCCTGTTTTCTCTCCTCTGAATCCGTCCCCACTGTGTGACTGGAATGCAAACTTATTTGTTGACTGGTAAACATTTTGTCGAGCAAATAGCTTGTCGTGCCAATCCGAAATCACTGAAAGGAGAGCTGCAGGAACCGAAAGCTTTGTCACGTACGGCGTGCACCTCACCTAAACTCCACCAGCGGGAGGAGAAGCGTACAGATGGAAACCCTAATCTGTGGGTGACAGATGCAAGCTGCCATCCTGACGCTCTAATTTTGGGATGACAACTTGTCTAAGTGACGACGTCCGTCCGTGTGATTAGTTTGTCTTTCTGGGAAACAAACAGAAAATGAAAACTGGGATGAAATGAATGGCATGTTTCCCTGCATAATTTCATGAACGTTTCATTTCTTTGTTGTTACAACTTAAAGCTACAATTCCTGGGATTTAATTTGGAGTTGCAACCTCTTTGGTTTTGCTAACTTTTATTAAGAAACTGCCCACACAGTAATTGTAAATGCTCTACACAGCAATTACAATTATGACACAGAGCATTTTTGTAGAGTGCAATATTTCTCATTTCCAATCATAAATGACTACAACACTGCGTCAACACTGGAGGCAAACAGTAAATCTACTGATGTCAGCGGTCCGCTGCAATAAAAACCTAAATTATCCATCAGTCTAATGTAACCCGGCTTGGAGAAAGTGGGAAATTTGTTCTATCCATAATGTATGTCTGATTTTAAATTCATAAGCCCTCTTTGATGTGGCTGATCAGAGAAGCTAAACACATGAACTGTTGTGACTCGATATTTGATTTTTGTTGCATTTCAATATAGTTTGTTTTATTGAGGCAGCAGTTTGTTCAGATTCTGGCTCTTCTGTAGTTAAGCTGGCTCCACAATGAGACACTTCCTCTTTAAATGTAAAAACATTATGGTAAAATATCACTTTGATCAGATCTTTCATGTCTGCAAACATGACTGTTAGGTTAATTGGCTCAGATTGGCTCTTAAGTGAGAATCTGTAGCTGTGTTTCCATTACAAATGTGCACAAAACTCTGTTTGATATTCTACTAATGTTGAAAAAACACAATTTACTAATTGCAGCATTTCCTACGATTCGTTCTAGGGCCACTGTAGACAGAAGAAAAGAAGGAAGTACATTTCCACAAAAACCTCAGAAAATGTTAAATTAATCTGACATTTTCTAGAAAAAAAGAGAGAAAATTTAAAAATCTGCTAGAAAATTTCCTGCAATGTTTAGAAAACATTTAAGTTTCAAAAGTTGATACTCGTCAACTTTCAAAAGTCTAAACTTTTTAACTTTTGAAACTCAGAAATTTCCATGTTTTTTCTAGAATATTTCCAAGTTTTTTTGAAGGAAATTTTCTCTTTTATTCTATGTCTAAAGGTCTCTGAAGTTTTCTTGAAAAAACGAGGACATTTCTGAGTTTGAAAAGTGAAAAAAATTGCTAGAAAAATTTCAGAAATTTTGAGATTTTCTAGAAGAAGGTTGAAGTGTATGGGTGTCAAAAGTTTAAACTTTTCCACTTTTAGAAATCTTCTGAGTTTCAAAAATCTAACCTTTGTGACTTCTGAGTTTTTCCTCAAAGATTTATGAGAGTTTTTGACAGAGATTTACTTTATCTGCAATGACTCTAATACGCCGATGTAGTCAGAGTGGCCGTTGCAAAGTCTTAATCTTGATCTTGAAGAAAGTTTGTGGGCAGAGCTGAAAGCTAAGGTGACCTTTAAACCTGATTAGCCAGATCTGTCGAGGAAAATCCCAGCGTTCATTATGAACGCTGGGATTTTCAACAAGCTTGACTGAAAGTCATTCAGGTTAAAGGGCATTTCTCTCAAATACTTAGAAAAGTGTATTTATGTAGAAACTTTGCACTTTACAGAAAGTAAAAATTAATTATTTCTTGATCATTTCACTCCTAAGAAATGATACAAAAAGGATTATTCTCCTCCTACATAAACTTACTTTTTTTTAATGTAAAATTTACCAACTAGTGTTTCAGCTGCTTTCTGTGCTGCTCTTTCACTGACTAATTGAGTTTTCATATGTTTTGACGCTAAGATGAGATAATCAAAACTTGTTTATTTTGCAAACAGAAACAGTTTTTTCGCATCACATGAGTCACATGATCAAAAACCAGATGCTACTACTGGCGGAAATGACAAAAAAGATAACAGGAAGTGGAATTCAGATGATGGTTTTCTATGTTTTTTAATGACTTATGGCATGAACAAACATATCTATGTGTGATTTTAATTGCATTTTTTTTTAGTGGAAACATCAAAATCACAAAATTGCGACATTAGTGGAATATTCACCAATTTATGTGCATATCTGTAATGGAATCGCAGCCAGTGAAAACCATTTTAAAGGTAGAAACAGAGAAAACTTGGATTCTTAACATCAAGAGAACAAGTTAAACTGTCTACCGTGTTAATCTTATTTCAGTTTTTTTATTAACATGTATTCACTGACAGTTACCTCAAAGCGTCGACAACAGAAAAACTTGTTGTGGAAAAACCTGAGAAACAGTTTGCAGGCGAAATGTTTGACTCTGTTGCGTAACTCCAGCCTTAACCCAAATCCTACAGCCTGAGGAACAAGTTTGATCCATGTAGGCCGAAACCTGTCAGATTTAATGGATCCCCTGCTTTTATCTTGGTTTCACACAACAGAGTCCTGGACAGTTGTTTTGCCCAAGAAAGGCGTTACGTCATGGTTCAGAATCGCAAACCAAGGACAACAAAAGAGTTTTTAAAGCAGAATCAATGTCAGCTAGAAAGTGAAAAACCTGGTTTGTTAAAATGCTAAAACTTTAGACACAGCATCTTTTTTTGGAAATCACAGTGGTGATTGAACAAGGTCTGGAGTAACATATGTACAAGAGAAAAATACTTTTTAGAATCAAAGGGCCTCATCGGTTAAAGAAATTTCAGCCACAGTTTGCATTTATAAAAACACCGCAGCCTGATTTCTCCCTTTCATAACATGAAAATGATTGCGTAACATTCAGCCAACAAAGGCGAATCCAGCTGCAGATCCTTAAAGGCCCTGCTGCAGGTTTAAACAATTACTTCTCTGGAGAATAAAAATACTGGGGAGTCTGCATGTCACCAGAACGTGGATGGAGAGATGAACATTGTAATGTCCTTGCTGTATCCTGACCTCATTGTCAAATCTGTCCAGTAGTTTGGGGACCAAAGTTGCAACATTTGTTACATTTTCAGCTGCAGTGGTTAGCTTCCACACTGAAAACAGAACCAAACCGTTTGAAAAAGCTGTTCCCTTCCTCACCTGTGGTGGAGCTGCTGCACTGAAGGAAGCAACATGAAGACCAATGAGGAAGACACTGAGCGCAACTAGTAGCGTCAGAATTTAGCAGTTGTAGGATTTATATTTTGTCTAAGGTAAAAAACAAACAAAAAAAAAAACACAAGTCATTTTTCCCGCTGGCGATAGATTAGCATGTTTGTTTTGGTTATATTTACCCAGAATGCCCTGCAAAAGTGGACTACAGTACTTCCTGTTTTTGGAGCGGCCCTTGGACCACTTGGCGTTCACATATATGTTCAAACCGAACCAGAGTTCACTTTAACCAAGCTGAGAATGAGGTTTGTAAGAGGACCAGAGTTCGCTTTTCAGAGTTCAATTAGCATTCACACCTTGTCAAACAAACCGGACTTCACAGACAAACGAACGAGTTGGATTAAAGCGGACTAAACATCGTTGGTGTGAATGCACCCCTGGAGGTCCAAAACACAAACTCTGGTCCTGACTACAGTGCAAGGCATTCTGGGTAAATACAAGCAAAGCAAGCATGCTAGTCTAGTGCTAACAGAAAAAAAATTATTCTGGTTTTTCAAAGGCTTTGGTTCATTTGACACAAAGCAGTGTGAAAAGGAACCACAGCAGCTGAAATTGAAACAATTGTTGCAACTTTGCTCCCAAATCAAACCAAGTTTACTAGACAATCATGTGTCAAAAACAGACTTTTATTGACGCGGCAGCAGGAAAACAGCTAAAAAATGAAGGACAGTTGGTCCTGGAGATCAAGATTTGGGTTTCTGACCTCAAATGGGATTCCTGTTTATAATAAATCATTAAACCACTTGGCCTTCAAATTAAAAGACAGAGAAGATTAAAATCAGAAGGAGATTCAGAGAAGCGTTTGCTTGCAGCTGCTTGATTAAACTGATTATTCTGCTCAATCTTGTGAAGGTCATAAGTCAGCGATGAATCTCTTCTGTCCGTGTGTTGATAATAATCTGGGATAATATTCATCATTTTGCCCTCAAAATGGTCTGTCAGGCATTTTAGTGATGTAAAATAGGCCAAGCAGTGATCACCCAGATGTTTGATGCTTCTGCTCCTCTTCCTCTCTCTCTCCAAATATAACCTCGCCCCGATCTGATTTAACCACCGTGGTCTCATCCCCCCGGTGAAATGGACTCATTTGTGCAAACAGAGGAGGAGAGAAAGAGGAGACAAAGCAGAGGGGATTGAGAATAGAAGGTCCAGGAAAGAGTCCAGAGGATGGAGGGATGAGAGGGCCGGGAAGGGAACGTGTGCTGAAGAGAGCAGGATGTGCTCAGCGAGCAAGGTCACTAATTGGGTTGAGACTTGTAGCTCCCTCGCAGTCCTTTCCACTTGTTCCTGACATAAATCAGATTATTTCTGAGATTCTTTAATAAGGGAAAGGAAAATATGTCAATTTCTACAAAGAAGCTGGAAGAAGAGAGAAAATAACACCAGAAAAAGGGATTTATGAATATTTGAGCTATTACTGTGAACACTTCTGGTACTTTAGTTGGACTCAGAATGAGAGAAAAGAGGAAAATAGAGCAATGTTTGATTGATTTTAGTGATTCTTTCCCTGACAAAGACTGAGAATAACAACAAGAATCATTTAAAAAATCAAATATTTATTCTGCAGAAGCAGTTTTGGTTTAGTTTATGGATAAAATATCTGGGCACAATTTAAAAGAGACAAAACTAACTTAAAACTAACCCTTAAATCAATAATTCCTTAATATTGATGAAAAAGTTCTAGTTTCTTTGGCCAATTATATCACTTATAAGATGGGAAAATGTCTTGTTAAGCCTAAATCGACGTGAAACCCGTTTTTCTTTCAAAATAAGTCAGAAATGCAATATTAAGTAAAATTTAATTGATTAATATCAGAGGTACCTAAAAATAGTACTGAAGTAAGAGTAAAAAGGTATTTGGTAAAAAGCTCTGATCAAATTATCAATCATTTAAGATTTTAAAATTACATAATCACACAGATCAAAATATAAAAAAGTGTGAATTTTTGGTATTTTAAAGATGAAAATTACAATAATTCATTTAGGTAACAAAAATAACAAAATCAGGCAAAAGAAGACGTTTCCAGATCAGTTTCTTTCATTATAAAACTTATGAAACTTTAACAAGTGCAGGTGTGTGTCTGTGTTTGGTGAATTTTTGGTTAAAACATGTTTATTCTTCATTAAGTGGGTAGAAAATCCAGAAATTTTACTCAAATAAGAGTAAAAGTCCTTCACAATAAAACTACTCAAGCAAAAGAAAAAGGTACATTGCAGTAAAAATACTCCTAAAACTAAATATAACTACCAAACTCTGATTAATATTGGGAAACATATGAAGCAGTAAAGTGACTGTGTCTCTTTAAGGCCTGATGGTGTGAAACGTCGGGTTTGCTCTGCTCCCCTGTTCGTTTGCTAGCCTCTTCAGCGCTCACCAGCTATTTTTAGTCATTTAAATTTGGAAATGTAGTGCATGGATCAAAGTCTTCTCTCCCATCCAGAAAAGTAACTGCTGGGGGAGCAGAGAAGAAAATAAAACAGAACATTTTTAGAGCGAGCACAAAGCCCAAAGAGTGAAGCTATCAATAGAGATCATTCTGATGTTACTTTGAAGGTCCAGAACCAAGCAGACAGCGTCTATTATAATCCCTCTCAGGGAAACATACACAGAGCATTTCATGAAAATTAACTCATAATACGAGTCTCTTCAACACAAAACTTAAAATAAATCCCTACATATATGAGCTGTTTCAGTGAAAACTTCTTTAATTCATCACATATGAAATAAAGATGTTTGATAACAAACACAAAGTTTATCTGTATGTTTAATAGATTGTTGTGTTATTAACACATTAAATTACCTTCATATTGCAGAATGCTTTAAGAGTTAAAATGTTTTTATAAAATGTTGTTTTATAAATAAGAACAGCAGCAGCAGATCTGGAGCTGGAAAACAGGATTTGTTTCAGTTTTACAGAAAACCATTTCTCTGGTGGAGAAAAATAATGTTTAATTTAAATCTCAACCAATGAGATCTCTGGATTCACTGGGGAAATGGATGAGGCATCCATCCATCCATCCATCCATCCATCCATCCATCCATCCATCCATCCATCCATCCATCCATCCATCCATCAGCAGCATATTAATCTGCTACAGAGATGGATAACTGGCCCTTTTCGGCCCAATCTTCAGACCGACCCACTGGGATTTGTCCCGGTCTTCCCGATTATCCAGTCCAGGCCTGGTTTCTTCTCCTGTCTTTCTCGCCAGCTTGAATCTGCGGTAACAAACTCCACGATCTGAGGACGACAGAGAAAAGACAACAAATGCCAAAGTCCGTTCCCGTCGGAGCTCAGCAGAAGAGACTCAATAACCTGCAGAATCTGTTTCTGACAGAGAAATGAAGAGAGCGGCAGAGACGCGCTTCGCTCTGCGCTTCGCTCTGCGCTTCGCTCTGCGCTTCGCTCTGCGCTTCGCTCTGCGCTTCGCTCTGCGCTTCGCTCTGCGCTTCGCTCTGCGCTTCGCTCTGCGCTTCGCTCTGCGCTTCGCTCAGCCAGCCGGGAGCAGCAGCTGCTAACCTTTCAGCTCCACAGTCACTGAGCAGATAGATGACAGTCCTGCGTGGAAACTATTCACGCCCAGCGTGAGCCGATTGTCTTTGCATTTCAGGTTTTTATTTTATTTGATCGTTTAACAGCAGGAGTCCAAACAGTCAACACCTCAGCATCTGCCGCCTGCCCGCTGCGCGCCGCGCCGCTGCCGGTAATTCATCATCGTAGCTTTGCTCCGCCATCACTTCCAATTATTAGGAGATTATCAGACACACATTCAGCGAACAGAGGATCATTTCCCATTAGCTTCCCACACCTGGAGATGACAGGAGGAAGAAACCTTCTGTTAAACAACGCAGTCACTCTCACAGGAGATTCATGACGGGGCTATGGATTAGGAACGAATCTAAATGAATGAATAATTACGATTCTGATTTTAAACTCCGAATTCTGGCTTAAATCTCAGACTTTGATCTCAGAATTCAAACTTTTCC